TCGATAAAACCAAAGGGATTATTTTTTCAAACAGGAAGTCGATCCCAGCAGTTCTTCCTCTGATTTCATCCTCAAATGGTGTCTCGATTGAGTTTGCTGATTCCTATAAATATTTGGGTATTTTGGTCGACTCACATCTCTCTTTTAAGCTCCATGTGGAAAACCTAGTAAAGAAACAAAACGTTAAACTGAGTTTCTTTTTCAGAAACAGATCCTGTCTAACCCTGAATGCTAGAAAACACCTTGTAACTGTGACTTTCCTTCCCTCCATTGATTACGGTGACATTATTTACATGAACGCTCCTACAAGAACCCAGCAGATGTTGGATGCTGTCTATCATGGTGCACTAAGATTCATAACTGGCTGTGATTATCGTAACCACCATTGCACCCAGTATTCACTGGTTAACTGGACATCATTAACTTCATGCACTCTCCCACTAGTACATTTTCATCTTTAAATCACTTCTTGGTCTGCTGCCTTCATAAATCTCCTCACACATGTCTCTGCGTGAGTGCAGCTACAGCGTGCGCTCTCAGGACATTATTACCTGCAGTGTTCCCTCAGTGAGGACTGAACTAGGCAAAAGAACCTTCTCCTACTCCGCTCCTGTTTCTTGGAATATCTTACAAAAAGATCTGAATCTCTCGACCTTGACCTTAAGTGGCTTTAAGAATCTGTTGGACTCCTGGCAAGGACCAATGCAGACATGTTCCTGTTTTTAGTTTTATACATTCGCCTTAGAATCTAGCTGTTTTTGTTACTTTTTTTAGCCTTTTTAATTGTAAAAAAAAAACAAAAAACTATGCATTTTTATAACTGTCTATTGTTGTCGCTGTTGTCATCATTCTTTGTTGAAATCAGGTCTCTCTTGTAAATGAGTCCTTGAGGCTCAATGGGATTTACCGGTCTAAATAAAGGTTGAATGAATTATACATCCAAACAGGCATTAGGTCTTCTGACATCCAGAGAGTTTCTCGCAGTTTGAGGACCTTTGCTTTTTTCCCCACTCCCTAGACTGCAGTGTGCACACCCGTACCCCCATTGACCTCTGATGTATCTGAGCTCAGAATTCTTTTCTTCAAAACTTTTGTAACTTCTCATTTCTCCTTAACAAAACACCGTAGACATAAAAATCAGAGTGTTCTATATAGAGATCACTTAGGCTTAAAAATACACAAGGGCACAAGACTTTTGCACTTTTGAGACCAATTTAACTTTATAAATGACTGTGGGGCAGCAGGCAGCATTGCTCCCTTCAACATTTCTGCAGAAATGTTCTTATCTAAAATACAGTGTATTTAAAATGTTCTTGAGATGAAAACAGTTGATAAAGGTGATGAAACTCTGAAACATTCAGACAAACAGGAACTCAGAGGTAGAGAAAAGGACAGAGCTTTACTATAAAGAAGGCGTCGCTAGCAGAAGTTGCAACATCTCATACACACATACATGGTGAATATACATCTTTTTCTTTTGGACTAGATTTTCCTTACAAATGCTGTTATTTTGCATGATTAAGCAAGACTTTAACAAGCTGCTTCGATGCTCAGAGTTGAAAAAATACAAAACAGAAAACGAGTCTAACAACATGTAATCAGAACAAAACACCAGACATTTCAGAAATTTAAAAGGCAGAAATAAATCAACAAACATGTTTTTAGGTGAGCAGAAACAGAGTGGGTAGAAGAAAGGGATGCTCTCCTCTGTGTGGACCTCTGACCGACGTACACGGAAGGGACAAGAAAAAAGCACTAAGTATCAGCAGATATGCAGATTTTTAATGAAGCCAGTTTACATTTCCCTCTGTGGTACATGGGAGTAAGGCCATGTGAAGCAAGGTGGCATTGGGGGGATTAAACTGATGCTTCCTGTCTCAGCACCATTTTCTGTTGAAATCAGCTGCAAAACATCTGTTTTTATTTTTAATCAGGCACCTGTTCATTATAAAACGAGGGGAACTACAGGTCGTCTTAAAATGAGACGTCTGTGCATTTCTGAATGTCTGCACAAACCGTCCACACGCGTTCCTGCAGCTCAACATGTGCTGAAGGATTAAATATGTGCAAAAATGATCATCATCAGATAAAACTGACCAACGCAAATATAGAAATACTTATTTCTGAACGTGTTTCTGCCAGACTAGCTTCATCTAGACGTTTATAGTCATATGCATGAATGCAATATTGGTAAGGATAATAAAAAGTGATTTGGTGAAAGGTGTGGAGAGATGTCATGCATTAACGTGAAGAATGAAGGTTAGAATAAGACAGAAAGAAGAAATGAGAGGCTTTAACTGAAAGGTCAAAGGTCACAGAAGTAAAACGTCCATTGTCGAATGCTACAGGCGCCAAACGTCTTATTTACATCACAGAGAACTGAATGTGTTTCACAATAAAGACTTTAAACATCGGGGAATAAATGACTGACAGATGTGCTACAGTCAGAACCAGAACCAGTTCTACAGGGTTCCGTTTCCTGTTCCAAGCAAAGCAGCAGGGCTGAAGGGAAACCCTCACATCTGATACGAGGTTGCATTCTTCACGCTGAGGTAAAGCTTTTACTTTTTTAGAGGAACTAATGTAGAATAGTACAAAGATAATTGTTTTTTTAAATAAGGATGTACACAATAAATGGCATATAATAACAAAAAAACAGCTTCTGTTATACGTTATAAATCTGAATGACATCAGTAAAACAACGTGAGGAGGAGAGCAGCTAAACACAATGACAAGAGACGCAAAAAACATCTAAACAGGATAATTTCACCATTATCCAGAGCAGTCTTTCGTTTAGCTGTTTCTTCAGCAACAGAGGAGAAGTTACACAAAAAGTCTATAAAGCTATTTTTAAACAAAAGAGTTACGTATATATTAATACAATTTACATAATTGAACAAATATTAAAATAAATGTTTTGAAAACTTGCTGAACTTTACTGACTGAAATAATTATAAGAGTGCTGTTAAATAAAGGAGCTAAAATGATCTGAGCTTATCCGGTCAGAAACAACCTGACTGCTGACAGAACCAGAACCAGAACCTAAACAGAGCTGGAACAGAACAGAACCACTGGGTCATCGTTTATAAAAGCTCCACGACAAAAACAAACAAAATGTCTTAAAGGACGCCGTGAGTTCAATTTAACAGATTTAACTGAACTGGAGTTTGTTAGCAGTGTTTGACCTTTAACCAGCAAACTGATGGTTACAGGTCAACGTTTAAAGGTCAAAGGTTGAGTTAAACAAACATGAAGGTGTTTTTGTAAACACTTGTTGACGCACAAAGATGAAAATAAAACCCTGTTTGGGACACAAAATGACACGTCCAAGGTCCAGTGTACATAGTTAGGGTCCAGTGTCAGAGTCCAGGATCAAGGTCCCGGGTCACGGTCCTGGGTCAGGGTCCAGGGTCTGAGTCTAGTATCAATGTCCTGGGTCATGGTCCAGGGTTGGAGTCCAGAGTCATGGTCCTGGGTCATCGTCCTGGTTCAAGGTTCAGAGTCATGGTCTTGGGTCCGAGTTCAGGGTCAGTATCTAGAGTCATGGTCCAGGGTCAGGGTCCTGGGTCAGAGTCCAGGATCCAGGGTCTCTAGGGTCATGGTACTGGGTCAGAGTCCAGGGTCAGGGTCTAGGGTCATGGTCCTGGGTCATGGTCCTGGGTCTGAGTTCAGGGTCAAGGTCCAGGGTCAGTATCTAGAGTCATGGTCCAGGGTCAGGGTCCTGGGTTAGAGTCCTGGATCAAGGTCCATGGTCCGGGTCCTGGGTCAGAGTCCTGTATCAAAATCCAGGATCAAGGTCCAGGATCAGGGTCAGGGTCATGGTCAATGTGTTTTTTAGTGGTTTTATGTGAATTCTTTGATTCTGATCAAATCTGACCCCAGAACTAATCATAGTTAATCACAGGAACTTCCTGCTCTGCAGCGTCACAGCTGAAGTCTGATGAAGTGAGCTGCTGAAGATTCTCGGTCATTCAGGTCAGGATCAATCCTAAATAAATAAATAAATAAATAAACAACAACAACTGGAGCTCTGTTCAGAACAGAATTCCAGTTGTTGTTTCTTGAACTATTTTTTGGCTGACGAAGTGAAAATTAAACTTTAAAACGTTTCAACATTTACTTTGAGTAGATGGATGGTGTTTACTGCAAAAAAGTCTAAAACAAGTGGAGTGATTTTAGATGAGCTAATTGTAGACGACCAAGAGCCAAGTGAGTCTGGAGCGCTCAGCACCAGAACCTGACTGTGCTCCAGTCAGAAAACTGACAGGATCAGCTCAATGCTAAAACAGGAATTTGCAGAACGTAGGAAGATAATCCACATAAACGCAGGATTAGCTCGCTCGCTAATAAGAGAATCAACTGGGTTTGGGTTTTTCTTTTACAGTTTCTCTCTAAACTACTGAAATGTTTCTCTTTTCTTTGAAGTGCACATATTTTACTATCATGCTCAGATTTTTCTTTAATCTTTTCTTTTAATGAAAATGATTACAGCAGAGCTTTCCTGCTGCTTGTGCATGGCTTTTTGTTGCAGGAGGCCACTGGAGCACAAAGTGAACACAAACATGCATTTTTTTGTTTTTACATGAAGAAACCCAAAATGAATTTTATCCTACCCAGGCTAAAGCCAACATGGAGTGGAGGTTGTGCATAGTTGTGTGAGGCACGGACATGAGCGTGTGAGCAGCATCCACCTCCCACTGCCTGAATATTAATATGATCAATGGATTCATCTGCTGAGGTTAGTGCTCAGAGGTGTCACGTCAGGGTGGACACGCCTGCTGATTCACTTCAGTGTGATGCTGCATCAGCAGCAACAGGCACAAGAAACTCATCTGAAATCTGAGGGCAGAAAAAACTCAATGAAACTCAAAACATGTCGTAATAATAAAAGCATTAAATTTCTAAAGAGTGTGGGTTCGTGCCTCCAAATGGGTACAGAAGGCACACGCCCAGCAGTCTGTGAGGATGTGGGGCAGACACGGTGCTGTCCATCCAGAGATCTCCTACGACTGGTCAAATTATCTGAGCTAAAAGAAGAGGTTAATGACCTGTGATTCGACCTCGTGCTTGTCCGCTTTATCTTAGAGAAGAGTCTGACGGGGCCTGCTGCCATTCTGTCTTTTAGATAATCAGGTGTGTGTGGTGCATTGAACAGAAATCCAAGGTTGGTTCAGAGTCCCAGCATGCAGTGCTGCTCTGCTACGCCAGAGAGTAGATGGCGTTAACGGGGGAGGTTGCCTCGGAGCTCTCGTTCCCTTCCGTCTCGTCCTTGTCCTTCTTCACCGTGTACTGACCGATGAAGGAGCCATCCTCGTTGAACTGACCATCGCCGCCTTCACCGTAGTCCACCAGGCTGTCGTCACTTTCCTTCACGTTTCCATCCAGAGACGTCTGGCTGCCCTGCAGAGGCTTGTTGTCTTCGTCGCTGCTGCAAACGCAGAGATGAAGGTTAAAGGTTAAAACCTGATGGAGTCAGCAGGAGAACGGGGGGGCTCAGTGTCCAACTTGACTCATGGAGCTACATCCTGTTTTCAAATTTTACTTCACAGCCTTTAAGACCTTATCCCATCAAACACAGAGTAGGAAATAAGAAATAATCCTAAAAACAAAACTTTTATCTTGAAATATGCCAATCAAAAACTGCTTGGTTGTTCTACTACTACAGATGGACTAATTTCCTTTCTAAGGACAGCAGGAACCGTTTGAACGAACAAAAAAAATAAAAACATTTAATAAGTTTAAAAATCACCAAACAAGTTTCCTCTAGTGATAAAATCTAAAAATATTTTTATAAACCTGCTGATTTACTTGTTCTGTAGAAGCAGCATTAAATCAGCTGAGTGGACTGTATCGAGTTTATTAAATAAAAAAAAGGTTCTTCCAAAGTTTGAAAGTGATCCAGAACTAAAGAGACTCAACAAGAACTGAATGGGACAAACTGAGACACCAATGCTAGACTGAAATGTTACAGGACATGTTGAGACAAAGTCTACAGCAGGTCACAAAAGTATTCACCCCCTTGCATATTTGATCTGTTTTGTAGTTTTACAAAAACTTCAGCAGCACTGTGGTCAGTTGGTTGAACTGTTGCCTCTCAGCAAGAAGGTCGCTGGATTGGATCCTGGCCCGGGACATTTCTGGGTGGAGTTTGAAAGTTCTCTCCGTGCATGTTTTCTCCATACACACCGGTTTCCTCCCACAGACCAAAAACACGCATGTTAGACTGATTGGTAACTCTAAATTGTCTCTAGGTGTGAGTGAGAGAGTGAATGGTTGTTTGTCTTGTTTGTCTTTATGTGTCCCTGTGATGGACTGGAGACATGTCCAGGGTGTCCCCTGCCTCTCGCACAGTGATGGCTGGACATGGGCACCAGTGACCCCTGTGACCAAAAAAGGAATAAGTGGTTAAAAGATGATGGATGGATGGTTGGTTTGGATGGATGGATGGAAGAATGGATGGATGGATGGATGGATGGATGGATGGTTGGTTGGATGGATGGAAGGATGGATGCCTGGTTGGATGGATGGATTGAAGGATAGATAGTTGGATGGATGGATGGATGATTGAAGGATAGATAGTTGGATGGATGGATGGTTGGATGAATGGTTGTATGGTTGGATTGAAGGCTAGATGGATGGTTGGATGGATGGATGGTTGGATGGATTGAAGGCTAGATGGATGGTTGGTTGGATGGATGGATGGATGGATGGATGGATGGATGGATGGTTGGATGAATGGTTGTATGGTTGGATTGAAGGCTAGATGGATGGTTGGATTGATGGATGGTTGGATGGATTGAAGGATAGATGGATGGTTGGTTGGATGGATGGATGGATGGATGGATGGTTGGATGATTGAAGGATGGATGGATGTGAAATGGAATTGTATCAGATAATATATTAACTTAATGAAATGTCTAGATGCATGTATGTTGTTTTGTTATTTAGAATGATGTTGTGTTTAAACACGATCTGATTCCGTTTCCGGTAGAAAATGTTATGTTCGTTACATGCCTACAACTCCCAACATTCATGCACCCACACATTATAGAACACAAGATGGTGAGATATTATTGGTTGAGAGCTGGGTCACATGATAGAGTAGGGCTTCCCATTCGTCGATGGTGGTGACTCCTCCTGGGAGGTGTGACCAAGCTCTGAAGAAGATGGGTTTTCAATTTCCACTCTGTGCCATTGTTTGAAACCGCATGGTACTGACCCAGGGCTGGTGATCTTTGTACTTTGCATGTGGGTAAAAAAACTTCTGAAATGGATGACAACTGCTCCTCCTCTCCCTGCTTCAGGTATAAAATATATTATAACATTCATTCAACCTTTATTTAAACAGATAGTCACATTGATAGTCACATTGGTTGGATGGCTGGTTGGATGGATAGTTTTACAATGTGGAATTTAAATAATTTATTAGTTTTTCCATAAATAATATTGTTACATATTCATAAAGTTGAATGGTGGGAAAAGTTCTTTTAAGTAGTTCTAAAATGTATAAAAGTGAAAAGTGTTGGAGGAATATGGATTCACTCTCTCTGCTTTGAAGTCCTCGGCATTCCTAGTTTAAGAACCACCTGAGAGTGATCTACGTGTGCCATCCTCTTCGTTTTCACAGTGAACAGTTATCACCAGAATCAACACCAGCACAAAACTCTAAGGCTCTGTTTACACGAGAACCACCTCTGGAAACATTTGTGTTTTTTCTGTGTTTACTGGGGCAAACAGACAAGAAAAACACACATTTAAGTAGATCTGCTATAGTTTTCGTGTCAAGCAGGGTTGCCCGTGGAGAAATGATGAACTAATGTACTGTTGCTCTAAAATGATTGTATTTTGACCCAAACTGTCATATGTGCTGAGTGGGAGTGTTAAGATCAGGTGTGTGTTATGTTTGGTCTTCTGGGGGCGGCTGTGACTGAGTGGTTAGAGCAGTCGTCCTCCAATGCGAGAGTTGGGGGTTCCAATCCACCAGGAGTCACATGCCGAAGTGTCCCTGGGCAAGACACTGAACCCCTCATAGCCTCTGATGTGTGTCCCATCGGTGTCTGAATGTGATCTAAAGCACTGATTAGTCTCTTTAGAATGATTTGTTCAATTAGCTTTGTAGAGTTCTAGTATAGAGCTGTATGAATGGGTAAATGAGGACACAGATTGTAAAGAGCTTTGAGTATCTTGAAATAAGATAGAAAGGTGCTATATAAGTACAATCCATTTACCATTTACCATTTGGTGAACATGTTCACGTCAAAAGACAGGGGAAAAAATTTTTTTTTTCATGTTTATCTGGCAACCCTGATGCTGGCTCAACTGCATGCAGTGTCAGCATGATCACAGTTACACCCAAACTGGTGAATACAGGAATGTCCCTTTGGACTGAGAATGTTGTTGGTTTGTGAGTAGCATAAAACTGCTCTCTGCCATTTATTGTAACTGTAGTTAGAGAAGAAAAACTTTGAATGTGCACGTGCAACTTCACTTGCGGAGTATTTTACACCTCTGCAGGGGGTTCCCCTGAAAACCTGAGACCAGGATTCAGAAAACTTTGGTTTCAGAGAACGAGAGATGCTGTTGGGTACAAGGACAACCGAACAGTGGCAGCAAAGCTCTGGTTTTACTCAAATTGTCCAGAGGCGTTTCACAATAAAAATACCTAGCATCTACAAAGTGGTAGCTACATTGTGTGAATGAAAAGATGTGAACTCCACAAAACTCCTTTTAAATTTCAGGTTTTAAAATAACAGAACAGAATGCCACAGGTGTGGATACTTTTGTAACTCGCTGTATCTTTTGCACAGTAATTCCCCAAAATGGTTCTTCCTCATACTATAACATTTTAGTCAGAGCTATAATTCCATCTGGGAGAAGTTGTAAAGACATGATTACCTCAACATCTACGGAAACAGTTGACTACCTATAAAACAGTTTAAGTAATCCAGGTCAGACTTCCTCCACCACTAATTAATCAACTGAATTAAATAAACAGACTGTATTTCATAGAACAGGGGTGATTAAAATACATATTAATATCATCCTTCAGTATCGAAGCCATGCCTTAATAGCAGACATAATCTGAAAAGAGATTATGGCGTAACATTTAAACACCTGCAGCTGATTGGATAGAGACAGCAACTTCATGCACAAGAAAAAAACAACGTTAGATTAATATTCTAATATCCAACAAACCATTGCAACATAAATGTGCTGGAAGGATGCAGCATTGCCATTTCATTTGTTGGATTTTCTCCCTTTCCGGTGTTGCATATCAGTCTTCAAAGATTCCCTTGGACAGATGTCCAACAGTTGCCATGCTCCATGATGAAAGACGTCAGGATTGTAGCAAAAATAATCAAATATAATTAAAAAATATATACACTCCCTGGCCACGTTGTTAAGCCCACCTGTTCATCTGCTTGTTAACAAAAAATAGCTTAACTGTCACGTGGCAACATTCCACCAGGCAGCTAGGCATGATCAAGACCACACTCTGAAGTTCAAACTGGGCCTCACAACTGGAAGAAAGGGGATTTAAGTGACTGAACATGGGTCACACGCAGTGACGATTTTAGCCTCTTTTTGTGGGTGCTCAAGTACACCTAAATTTTAACTCAGCACCCCTGAAAATTCAAGAAACCATCATAAGAATTTTGTAAGAAAGCTCAGTTCTCAAACCATAGACTCACCAAAATACTGAATACAGTTAGAATAAATATGGAATAAATGATGAATAAAGGGCATATTCTAATCACCCCTGGCCATACGAGCTAGTTCTAGTATTTCAGAAACTACAGGGATTTTCACACCCAGCCATTTCTAGGGATTAGAGAATGGTCCAACAAGCAGTACACAACAGGAACGAAAATATTCTCACACTCAAAAACATCATAAACAGTCAGAAAGATACATAACATAATTTCTACCCAGCATGCTTTGCAACGCATACACGGTCTCTGGGATGTGACTCTCTCACACATTATTTTAATACAAACAGATTGATTACTGAGAGAATATTGATGATGATGTTGTACAGCAACTTTGTAGTTAGTTTACAAAAGTAGTTAACCACAAAGAGGATGACTAAAGTGAGTTAATTCATTAAAGTAAATGACACAAGGGAGACGTCTGACAAAGATTGAATGCATTACTCTGCTTCAGCACAGCAGAGCTCTGCTTGGTCTTTTTGGTTCAGATGGACCAGATTAATTTCTGAATGGGACATGACTGTTTTACTTGTGATTTATGAATAGCTAATAGCTAATGATAGCTTCCGATAATTAAAAAATATATATTTTTAGCAGTTTAGTGTTAGTGAAGCAAATTTTTTTTTAGTTAGCAAAATTGCAGTTAGCGACGCTAACTTTTTGTGGCCATCTTGGATTTTTACATGGCAACCCAATTTTCGAAAGGAAACTTTCTTAC